ACCACCTCACGGTGGTGGTTAGTGTTCTTTCTCATTATTCCATTTTGTTACAATTACAATGCTCATCTAATCAACACACGCATACCCTAATCTAATTACAAATAAAAACACACACGAAAGAACACCCACCCATGGTGGTACACGACGGCAGCCACCACCTCATGGTGGTGGCAGTGGCGGCCCTAGGCTTTCCGGCCAACAATAGATCACACACAACACTCCCAGGACCGGAAACAGACATACACACCCGATTGAAACCGGTAGCAACAATTTCACACGAACATTCACCCATGAACACACCCACAGCCACCAGGTGGCGCATGGCGGCGACGGCAGAAGCTTCGAGATGGCGACAACAGCGCGGCCTAAGAAGGAGAAGGGGAAGGAGGCTGTGGACGCTCAATGTTCGCTTGGTGGCTTAAAGCACACGATGCCGGAATATTCCGGTACTCCCCCGACAATCTGTGACCTCGACAACGAAGTAGCGGTGGCCAAAAGGTGGCAATCGGACCCTGAGGATGCAACAGCGGCTGGGGAGATCGTAGAAGTGAAGTGGCAGCAGCCACACTTGGTGAAATGGACCCGCAAAGGCGTTGTCCATCTTGAGATCCAACCACGACCCTTCGACCGGTTCTTTCCAATGGCGGTGTCGATCTCAGCGGTCCTTCTCGGCAAACCGACGTCCGGCAACGGTAGAGATGGCGAAGAGGAAGGCAGGCGACGGCTGGAGTCTTCATCAATGGTGGCGGCTAGTGAAGCATTAGGGTTAGGCGTGTTTAGAGAGAAAACGGGAAAGAAGGGAATGACGGGTTTAAGTCCCGTGTTCCTTTCAAACTTTCATCCTTTTGACAAGTTTAGTCCCCCAACATCATAATTATGACATAATCAACCCTTCCACCACATTTCCTTCTTAAATTAAATCCAAATAGTTACCACGGAACCCTTATCTTCATAAATATTTACAAACTGAGTCCGAAACTCACATTTTTAACCCCTGACTTCTAAAACTGTGCCAATTAACTCCTCGAGACCAACACCCTGCATATATAATTATTTGTTTTAGGCTACGAGCCATTCATTAATTTATTTATTTATCTAATAAATAAACGGGGTTTTACAACTCTCCCCCACTTAAATTAATCATATAATAAATCAGCAATTTAGCATCTTCCTCCAAAAGTATATATCTATCAAAATACTAGTTTTGAACCCAAAAAGGACTTTGCTTCTAATTCAAGAATATAACAATTTAGTTATTGGCTTAGACACCTTATTGCAACATGGACCACCTCGGAAGGTATACAACCTATCCTGAACGCTCAAACTATCTTGGCCTTCAACATAAAGTAGGACCTCCTCAACCCAACTACAATATGTTGACATATACAATAGATAAACATAAATACTTATCCAACAAATATAGGTACCGTTTGGGTCTACCAATCTATCATATAACCAACACAACATGATCTTACATACCAGGATGCATAACCTAGTAGGTCGGTATTGGTGCTTTCGACCCATGGGTACAGTGAGGAAAACTCATCTCACAACTTGAGAATAGTTGAACTAATCAATGCTCCAAATATTTATCTATAGATCGCCTATACAAATGACAAGGACCCAATATCAAAGCTGCTATTAAAATTAACCAAAATGCCCTTAACGTTAACTTGGTTAAAGTAATAGTCAATGTCAAAGATTAAAATGTCAAAGGTCTCCCCACAGGCTGAGTATGCCTTGCATACTCTAACACTACACCCAACGTAGAGGGTGGCTCGACTGATTACAGGGTCCTTTGGGGCTACGTGTTGCGTACCTTCAGGTACGCTCGACATACTCAACTAACTTCCTAATTTATTATTAAGTGATTATTTCCTTAAGAAAATACATCCAAAACTCATATCCAGTCCCCAAAATAACCTCCTTAGTCATAAAGTTTCCAACTTTATGACTTCGCATGGCTACGAAGTGCTCAAAATCCAAACCCTAATTACTACCCATGACCCAAGTTTTATAACTCTTGCATGGATGGGAGAAAGGGACCGAGATCACATTTTTATGACTACAAACACTCAAAAACATCTGAAAGAATAACTCTTTTGGTCTAGAGTAAGCCAAACTCATATATACCAAGATTATCGAACCAAAAGGCACAAAAACTTAAGAACTATCAAGATCTAATGAAATATTCATGAAGTTTAAAACTTTATACCTTATAGAGATTGCTAGAGAGATGAAATTTCCATATCCACAAAGCTTGATGCTCCTTAAATGCTCTCTAATGGACTATTTCCTTAAAGGATGAACACAAAACACTTAAAAAGCTCAAAAGCTCTCAAATAAAGATTAAGGTTTGCAAAGGATCATTTGAGAGGATGGCGGCTGAAGGTGGAAAGGATTGATGAGGGATAAGTTGCTTAAATAGGTCTTAAAACCCCAGATTTAGGGTTTAAATGATAGACGAGTACGCCCTGCGTACCTATTGAGTACGCCCGACGTACTCACAAAGATATGCGCCTAAACTTAAGGGCTTACGCCTTGTGTATGCCTTAGGTATGCATGACACAAGGCCCGTTTTTGCAAATGTTTAATACTTTGAGGCCAGAAGGAAAATACTTGAGTGGTTGGGTGTTATAGTTAAGACCTTGTAAATGTGTTGTGTCATGTCAGGTTAAAACGTTTTAAATGTTGAAAAGTAGGAGATGGTGAGGCGAAAAGGAAAATGAAAAACATTAAAGTTGGGAGGTGGAATGAAAAAATTCATAGCAAGTTTAAAAGACAAAATAGAAAGAGTTATAGTTGGGGAGTAAAGGGGGTAGGCCATGAGAAACTGAGAATAAGTAAAATTAAGTCACTTTGAAAGTTTGAATTTTAGTTCTAATTATTTAGTTTGACCTACTACAAGTCTATAATATATAACATATTTATAAAAATATGAAATTTATAAAAAATGATATATATATATTTAAAAGGGCCATACTCGAGTGATCTTTGAGTAAAAAGTCTTAACCCTAACCAAACACGTTTAGTTATCGTATCGTGTCGTGTCAACTCGTTTACTTAAGCCCATTTACTTAAACCTGTCGAAATCTTTTACCTAAATCAGCTAATTTTGTGTAGGGCTTGTGTCGAGTTGTCATGTCGTTTCAGATTTTATCAGGTGTAGTAAACATGTTGTTTCGCATGTTAGCTAAAACAACCAATCATGCAACAAAATAAAACTACAATAACTAAAACTATAATAGTTATGATTTTTAATAGTTGTTACCAACTAATTTTGATAAACCATAATACCAACTCTATAATATAATTTATATATAATTAATAAGAAAATCAATTGTCTATTATCTTTTATGCTTATAAATATTTATATCCACTAAAATCTTGACGAGTGTTATTATTCTATCGTTTAATTTAATTTAATTTGATATGTTCATAATATACCTTTAATGAGATAATTTTAAAAAAATATGGAATGATAACTGTGAGTAAAAATATTTATAGGGGATAATGACCTAAAATGATAATACAATTTTCAATTTGTACACATTTAATCACTGAATTATTTTTCGTCCATATTTACTTTTTCAACTTGTTTAAGTGTACACATTTAGTCGTTATAATTGGCTACTTCAGGTAACCCGAAAAAAATGGCTTAAAAAGGATAACATATTTCTTATTTTGTTCACATTTAGACATTAATATATTTTTTTTGCACATTTAGTCCTTAATAATTTTTTGTTGCTAAATAATTACTTGTTGTTTTTATACATTTATACTTATGACCGTTTTATTTTTAGTTTTTTCTCATGACATCCTATGCGGAACAATCATTAATAAGGTGCCAGTGGATATCCATGTTTATGGACACCGCGGCCTCGACTGCTTGGTTGTTTAGTTCTTATGGTTTGTCTTCAATATTGTGTTTTGAACGTCGAAACTTCTTCAATTGATCACAAATTTTAACAATCTTTATATCTACACGCTCGTATTTGATTCTACTACAACTTTCATTTAGATCATTTTCTTTAAAAAGTAATACATTTTCACTTATAATCTCTATGTCCATGCACTCTTTATGAATGTATGTATGAATGTTTTTTTTAATAAAATGGTAATAAAAAATATATTGTTTTTAATGGGAGTAATCTAATCGAAAATTTTAATATATTTATATATGAACGCGTGGATAAAAAGATCGTTAAAATCTGTAATCGTAGAAAGAAGTTACGATGTTAAGAAGACAAGACCTAAGTGGCTAAGTTAAACCATAAAAACTAAGCAACGAAACAACCAATGCCATAGGTATGCAGGGCCGGTCCAAACGTATATGGGGCCCGGGACGGAAAAAAAAAAGGACCCCTTAAAGAAAAATATAATAAAGATTCAAAAAAATATCAATTATTGTTCACTATAAACACCTTCAATTAACAATAACAAGCAAGCCAAATTGTTTATTTTTTGAGCTAATTTAAGTTTGAACCAACTTTAGGTTCTAAAAATCATATTGGTAATAATTATATATATATATATATATATATATATATATATATATATATATATATATATATATATATATATATATATACACTACATAGCCCAACAATTTTGGACCCCCTAGAGTCGTGGGCCCTGGGCGGTCGCCCGGGTTGCCCACCGTCTGGACCGACCCTGTAAGTATGTTGTGAAAAAATCGTAAAAAAAATCGGTTATAAGTATTGAATGTCTACAAAAACAATAAAAATTTATTTTACAACAAACAAAAATATTAATAAAAAAAATATATTAAGGACTAAATGTGTATAAAATGAAAAATATATTACTCTTATAAGATTTATTATTATTATTATTATTAATATTATTTTTTTTGTCAAGAGTAATCGATTATAATGATTAAATGTATAAAGTTAAACATATTCAAAATGTATATATGAACCAAAAAAATCAATGACAAATATATACAAATCAAAAGTTCATTATCTCATATTCATTAGATAGGAGATAATTTGTCACGTTTTAACCTAACTTATATATGCAAAAAAAAAAATCTATATAATAAAAGGAAATTAAGTGCATGAGGACCGTTTAAAACCAAAACGGACGGTTGGTTAGGGCCTTTGTATTGAAACCGGCGACCCAAGACCCGCAAGAAATCTCTCGATCTGTATTGAAACCGGAACAGAGATGGAATCCTCGCAGACCACCGGAGCAGCAGCCTCCGGCGGTAATGGAACGCTTAACCCCCAAAACAACGATGCTTCACCTGCTGAATCAACAGTTACGGCAACTACTTCGTCATCCGACGATCCCAAGCAAAACCTAAACCAAGTCATCAATTCAATTCAGAAAACCCTAGGAACCATCCATCAGCTCTACCTCACTGTCTCTTCCTTCAACGTTTCCTCCCAACTCCCGCTTCTCCAACGCCTGTAAGTTCTTTACCTGTGTATTTATCAATTTGATGTATTTTCTTAACACGAGCATGTTTCAAGATTGCGATACTGACTCGCTATGTCAAATAAATTCATAATCAAATCATCTGCTTTTACTTATGGAATCTAGATAATTTTATTTTCTCTGTATGCAGAAACACACTTGTTATGGAGATGGATAATATGGCGAAATTGTCGGAAAAGTGTAATATACAGGTTCCGATGGAGGTCTTAAAGTAAGAATACGATAATCGATAGCTTTTCTATTGAAAACTCCTTATACTGTTTTAAATCATAACTTTCTGGTGTAATTGAATGAGTTTATACTTTATAGTTTGATTGATGATGGGAAGAATCCTGATGAATTCACGAGGGACGTTTTAAACAGCTGCATTGCTAAAAACCAGATCACTAAAGGAAAAACTGATGCTTTCAAGGTTTGTATGCAACGTTCTGTATGTTTAGTTATCATGAATCTACTAATGTGTACATAACTATATCTTCTTGTAGGACTTATTCTGTAGCCTAGAAGTATCTATGCCTCTGTAAAATAAGTTTTTGTGGAAATCTTTAAGAGTTAGTTGTTCAGCATACTTTTGCAACTTTTTTGCAGTTTAAGGTGTATCTTGTTTGCTCTTTGTATCTGTGATCCCGGATTTTGAAACCACTTTAGGGTTTAGGGTTTAGAGCATACCTTCTTCTCTTCTTTGAAGGTTTCTATTGTGATTTTTCAATCAGCAATGGTTAATTTTTGTAGCATCTAGGAGTTCCCTTAAATACACTTTCTTTAACGTAGTTAGTCTATTTAAAGCTGCAAGCTGACTCAAATGAGTAGAGTGTGACTTCCATATGGTTCTTTTTTGAAGCAAGTTTCTTATATACATTGTGGGTGTTTGAAAACTAAGAAATGGTTGTCTGTTTGAGGAATTCGCTGAATGCTCTGTTCCAAATGTTATGTTTCTCTTATTTAGTTGTATTCTTATAAAGGCATAAAACAATTCTTCCTGCTTATTTATCATTGCTTTACTACCCTCCTACTCATTAGTCATTAGTTCCAACCTAAAAAAACTTAGCATCAAAAAAAAAAAAAAAAAAAAACAAAACAGGACAAATTTTTATTTCCCTTATTAGCAGATGCAACATCTTGGTAATTAGAATATATGTTTGAATCATAAAGTATAGGTGTTTTTATCATATATGAGTATATGATATTATGTTTTTACTAATTACTACAGGGGTTGAGGAGGCATCTTCTGGAGGAACTTGAACAAGCATTTCCTGATGAAGTTGAAGATTATAGGGAAATCCGTGCATCTTCTGCAGCTGTTAGTTTTCTAATATCCAAAACCCTAAGTCATGTTTACTACCTTTCCATTTCTTAAATCTTACTTGTAGTTAGTTTCATATGAATATGATGATGCAGGAATCCATGCGCCTTGCACAAGCACAAACCATGTTACCAAATGGAGATGTCAAGCTCAAACCTGAGATCTAGTATCCAATCTTAATACTTATTGTTAAAAACCTTTGTTTTAAACTCTCTCTTTCTCTCTATATATATAAACAGGTAAACATCAACGATGATGCTTTCATTTATCTGCTGTTTTTTTTCTTTATATACAACTGTATGCCAACTTCTATGTTTACTCCAGAAACAAAAGCGACACTCTAGTCCTATCATCTCATCTCTTTAGAATTCCAACCACCTCTGAAGATCCATCCCCAAGCTCTCTTCCCATCCTTGAATGTCTGCAAATTTACTTTCTTCTCCAAGGTACAGAAATGGAACCCTAATTTCTTCTTTTTCGTGGTTTTCCGTTTGTTCGTTGGTTATCCTATCTTCAGATTCTTCGCTGCCACTGCTGCTGTTTCCATTCCTCTCCGCTGCATTTCTCAGCATCTCCAACTAAATCATTCATTAATCTTTACAAAATTAATTACGTCTGAAAGAGCGAAACTAGTTGCGTTGGGTTTGGTGTTTTTGAATTTTGAGGTAGGTAATATACCTGATTAAGCAGTGCCTGATTCTCTTTCTTAAGAGATTCAGACTTTGAAGCCAGCGACTCATAATTGAGCTTCAAGGTGTTGTACTCTTGCTCAATCTGCCTTGATTTTGATCGCGCTCTTTTGTTCTGGAACCATATCGCCACCTGTCGAGGATGTAACCCGAGTTTGTTAGCTAACTGGTGTTTCATCCTTAACTCCGGTCGTGACTCTGTCTCGAACATGTACTCCAAGAAGCTTATTTGTTTATCTGTAAATCTTTTCCGACTTTCGATCTTGCTCTTCCTGCCTTCTGACATTCTTTCTTTCGACTCTTTGACTCTCTCTTTAACAATTCTTAGCTTAGCTGGGAGTATTATGGTGTAAAGGAGTAGTGAGTATTTATTATATATAGTCCCCTTCTTTTATGGGATTTCGAATGAAGGACAGGTGTACGCGTTGGAATTGACATGGATCTTAGCCATCTTTGTCTCTTTCTATTCTCCATCTATTCCCAATGCATTGATGACTTGTACCTTGTACCTCTACAGTCTACACGTACACATGTTATATTTGTGCAAACATATATTTTCTGTAGTGTCACTGTCGCCATACGTGTGTAAACCTTAGTTGGTTATAGACTTATAGTTACAATAGACTGGACTATATTTAGTTTGATGGTAATCCAAGGGAAGATGAAAGTACAAGTGAGTATAGCGTAGATGTATTCGTACTAATAGTGGGACTTGGTAGGTAATAAAATTGAGTGATGGTGGATGTGGGTCCCATTGCTTTTAATTGGATTGACCAAAAGGAAAGGAAGCAAAAAAAAAAAATTGGTGAAGAAAGGAGTGACACGTATGTGGAAAATGACAAAAGAGATAAGATACTATGTGCCAAATGGGCCAATAATGTGAAGACTTGTGTGATGGGGGAGGGATCCTGATAGCCATTGTGTTGTTATTATTATTTATTATTATATATATATATATAGTATATAAATAAGAAAACGTGTACATGTAACCACTAAACGTTTTTTTTATTTGTTTATTCTTGTCCTTTGGGAAGAGAGAATTAGGTCTCACCTTCAGATATTTTTGTTTTTATTGTCGTGTTTTCACATCAACCGAGTTATATAGTAAATTTTGTATATTTGGATTTTGGGATAGATTTGCAAATCAGACTAATGAAGGACATCGTCTATCAAATTACTGGTAAAGCAAAGAGCAGGAAGCCCTCTCAGCACAACTGAGGTCTAGGTCCTAAAAGTGATGATGAAGGCAAGCTGCTTATGTTTAAAACCATCAACAATCGCCTCATAACTTGAACAACCTTGTCTATTGATTGTTTGGAAATAACTATATGCTTTGAAAAGTAATGTGTTATTGAATTTAACAGCCTAGTTTTTCTAACATTTGAATAAAATAGTAAATGTGTATTAAAACTACTTTCAAGGGATGTACAACCAATTTTAAAGACCAAATTTTGAAAAAGTGGTTTTTAGCTATATGTGTGGATGTGGTGTGCAATAGATGGTCGCTATACCGATGGTACCTTTAGGCCATAGGGTGTAATACCATGCTTACAATACTATTGCATGTCATATCATTATTTTTTCTTTAACACTACAAAACTGTGAGTGGCATATCCCACCTTAACTCTAGTTTTTTTCTTAAATCGGTCAAAAAAGGAACAGAAGAGGTGCGGTAAAGGCTTGTGGTACAGTGGCCATACCACAATGGCAAATGGATGGCAAATGGGGGTCCGTGTTGTGTGCAACATACATTGTGATGCCACATCAGTCACAAGAGTGTGCGGTTTAAGGTGTACCTATAGCCTTAAGATCATGATTATTTCTATATATTTTAATACATTTTTACATATAAATATAAATAGGTAATTTTATTATATATTGTATCAGTTTTTATTTTTTTGTCTTATTAATTTATTAAATACATATTTTTTTCCGTATTATTCATGTATTAAATGAAAATTATTGTGTATAAATATATTTTTATATGTGAAAACTCACACAAAATACATATTTTTCGTATATATTGTATAAATTAAAAAAAATACATTTTAAATGTATAATTACATCTTTAAATACTTTTAAAATGTTTAAATATATTTCTAAAGGTATTTAAATATATTTAAAAATGTATTTATATATTTAAACTTATATTTATATATTTAAAATTATTAAAAGTTATATTTATATATTTAAAATTATATTTATACATTTAAAATCATATGTATATCGTTAAAAAATATTTTTAAAAGTATAAATATGTAGTGTTTTTGTTTTTAGAAGTTTAAAAGATTTAAAAATACGTAAAAATATATGTATATAGATAAAAATATCATTTAAAATGTATTTAAAGCTTTAAAACATATTTTAACATTTAAAAACATAATAGTAATAGTAATAAAGTCTTCAGTAATCGGGATTATATTTATAAAATTAGGAAATTAATCTCACAAATATTTTCAACCTAATGGTTAATCTCTTGGTTTGGGTTATGGAAGTCAAGAGTTCCAATTTCATTGCATCATTTCTTATCTCTACTTAATAGTTTTTAATTTAGCGAAGTGTATTAAACACTAATTTATACGTTAATTAGATATTATATATTATGCATAAGAAATATATTCGGTGACATCTGGGTGTCTTTGTAGTAAGGCATCTTTCTTAAGAAACTAGAGGTCGTTAGTTCGATCATCGTCTCTACTCATTTCCTTCATCTTATTATTTTATTTTACTAAAAAAAATAATTGCTGACATGGCAGCCACATAAGCTTCATGTCAGCGACGTCATCAACAGGTAAGCACCAAAGTCACCTGTAAACCGGATATATGGCAAAATATGAACAAAAGTATACAAATGTGAGGCAAAAACGAACATAAAAATCAACTTTGGGTAAAAACATTAATTTGCTGCAAACTTGAGAGTTTTTGTGAAAGTAACCCATTGTTTTATCTGTTACCAATTTTTGCTCCAATTTTTCCGATTTCCACTTTTTGGTCCCTTGCATTTCATATATATTCATAATTTAGCAACAAAAGTTTTAAGAATTTACCACTTTTGGTCATTTGTATTTTATTTTTGCCATTTTTGGTCCCTTGCATTATATATATATATATATATATATATATATATATATATATATATATATATATATATATATATATATATATATATATATATATATATATAGATCCGGTAAGAAGTTTTTTTTTGGTAGGAAGGTAAGAAGTTTTTTTTCTACATATTTTTTTGACGAACAAAAAAATTGAATCACTAGTTGATTCATTTTTAAGATGATTCACAAGAAAAAATTCTCAAAAAAATATCTTTATGATTCATTTTTAAGTAAATTAAGAAATTTTTACTTTTATGACAATTTTAGTGAATAACAACAAAATCATTATATAAATGAATCATCGAGATGTTTTTTTAAAATTTTTTTCTTGGGAATCATTTTACAAATGAATCACCTAATGATTCATTTTGTTTGTTCACGAAAAAAAATATGTAGAAAAAAAACTTCTTACCTTCCTACCAAAAATTTCCTTCTTATTTGATCTTGATTATATATATATATATATATATATATATATATATATATATATATATATATATATATATATATATATATATATATATATTAAAGATTAAAGATTAGTCACAAAGGTTGCAATAGTTTTCCACTTTGGTTCCTTGTATTTATCAAATGTGACCCCTTAAGTTTTTGTCATATTACTTTGTGGAGTTGATGCTTTTGGTCCCCCATCTTCGATATTCTTAGAAAAAGTTTTTGCCATATTACTTTGTAGAGTTGGAGCTTTTGATCCCCTGCTTTCAATATTCAAAAAAAAAAAAAAAAAAAAAAAAGCAATATGTAAACATGTAAAAATTATATTCTAACCGCATAAAGCTCAGATCACCTTCTATTTAATTTACAACACAATTATAACGTTTTGACCACGAATGTTTACCTCATTATCAGGTCTATGAGTATTATAGACTTTGTGGTTCCTTTAAATATATATGATCCCGGGATTTGGTTGAGCTTGACACTCTTTGTCTTTATATATGTTTTACTATTATGTACCCCTTATTTTTTTAGTTTTTTTATCTTGTATCTTTGCCATAAGTTAGATAAATGGTCTCTGCTTTTTGATGACTTATTAAAAAAGATAAAATTATAAGATTAGTGTCTGTGGTATTCAAAAAACTCTGGATAGTGTCCAAAAGGTTTTTCACTTGCATAGAAGGTCCAAAATCATGGTTTTTCTGTGTTTTTAGTCCAAAAGTACTTGAAAATACGGTTATACCCTTTTACTTTCTTTTTTATATATTTTTTATTTTTAAAATGCTATTTTAATTTAAAAATAAAAAGAAAAGAAAATAACTCTCTCTCTCTCTCTCTTCTCTCTCTCTCTCTCTCTCTCTCTCTCTCTCTCTAACACAAAGTGGGAGGGGACATGCTTCTTAGTTCTTCATTCATCCTCCATCATCTTCTTCAACAAACTCACAACTGTATCTCCATATTTCCTTCTTAACAAACATCTTTAGAAAATTAATTTCCAAAACCTAATCTTAATATGAATCGATTTATGCTGTGAACGCTAAACCTAAAATCAATTTATGTATATGTAGGGCTAACTGGATGAAATCCCTTTCATATCTTCATCTCAAACCAAAATTATATTGATAGATAAAGTGATGATGTATTTAAAAAAAATTGTTTGATCTGAAAAAGAAAAAGATTATCAGTATGTAGGAACAACAACAAGAACGAAGACAAAAAATACATTAAATCCATAAAATCGACATCAATCCACATTCAACGAATCCACACATATACGGGTTGCTTTGACAAATGCTTTGAGGATAGTTTGATGGTCGGTTAATGCTCCTTCACCATCGGAATCACTGAAGCTTAGATATGAATTCGTTTATGTGTCGCCGGTGGTGCTCGTCGATTATCAGGATGTTGGAGATCCAAAATGTATGTTCACTAGTAAAAACAACGTGTCCAGGTGCTTTAAATCGCTTGATGGACAGATCTGAAATAGAAAGCCCGCCCTAAACGAAGAATGAAGACGAAAACCCTAACCAAATAATGAACTCGTCGTCGAGATTTGAAAAAAAACCCTAACTGAAGAATGGCGGCGATGAAAACACCACTGATGCCAACCTTCTTCCTTCGTTGGCATAGGCGATGACGGTTGACGGTGCCGAAGGCTAGGGTTTTCCTAATGGTTCGTCGGCAATAAGAGAGATGGAGAACACCCGGTTCATTACATATCTAAGGTTGTGGCATCAGATGCTAGGGTTTTTCCGAAGAACATTATAGATCTTCACTCACCTTCACCATGAACACAAATTGTAGGTGGAGAAGACACAGTTCATCGATTCTTCACATTTCTTAGAGAATAAACTTTGTTATTGGACTTGCGTGAAGGGGGAAGAAAAGGGGCACATCTTGGTTATTAAACAACTTCAAATGGATATCAATTTTCAGATTGAAAAACAATCCCGTTCAAGTTATCCCATTTTCTTTTCTTGATTGTCAGGTTGAACTTAGAAGGGTAAAAAGAAGTTGAAGAGAGGAAACGATGAACAACAAAACCATGGTTCAGAGAGAGAGAGGGAGAGAGAGAGAGAGAGAGAGAGAGAGAAAGATTTCTTTTCTTTTCTTTTTATTTTAAATTAAAATAGCATTTGAAAAATAAAAAATATATAAAAAAGAAAGTAAAAAGGTATAACTGTCATTTCAAGTTTTTTTGGACCAAAAACACCGAAAAACCTTGATTTTGGACCTTGAATGCAAGTGACAAACTTTTTGGATCTTATCCAAAGTTTTTTGAATACCACAGGGACCAATCTTAGAGTTTTGTCATTAAAAAATAATCCACTTTGATTCTTTTTTGTTTTTTAAATGCATTAATTTTTGTTTTTTTCTTAAAAAAAAACCGTCTTGAACAAAGACCGGGATCACCTATGAGTTCCCTTTATTCGTTTCACGTCAACTTTATGTTATATCAAAAGTGTAAGAAATATGGGTAGGAAACAAAATTATTTTAGTAATCAAGAAACTAGATTGCTTCATGAAATATGTATATTCATTTTATGTGTTGATATTTTTCTCATACGATGCCTCGGTTACCAAGAAATCCCAACTGAGGAGAGTCTATGACTATCACTTCAAGTTTAGACACAAAAACGTATTTTTCTAAAAAGTATCCGATTTGTTAATTATCATAAGAGAGTCATGCAATGAACGGAATATGAGTATATATGCTAGTTTATTCAAAAAATGGAAAAGCACAACAAATTTTATAGATTCTATCGTTGAAACAATTATCTAAAAGAATTATTCAGGGAGATTGAGATGATTAAAGCTATCATAAATAGCTTGGTAAGGAGTTGTTACGGACAACTTGGGCTGCCAACTTTGCGAAGGCAGCAACTTGGTTGTCTCACAACTTAGAGTCATCTTCAAGCAAATTGACTATTTGTATATTTCTTTGATTTTCATTCCCTTTAATGAGGTTTTTCCACTCCATTTCAAATCCAAAGGGGTGTTTGGTTGTAGAAAATTTTCTAGTTTTCTAGGAAAATTTTTCAAGAAAAAATGAAATTTTGAAAACGCGTTTAGTTCGTTCAGTTTTCCAAGAAAATGAAAATTTTCAGTTTTTCAAATTGTATGTAAATTAGAAAAGTGGTTTTTACAGTTTTTCAAAGTTTTCCAAATATCAAAGATAGAAAATGAAAACTCCACCCGTTCTAACCAAACGCGTTTTTATTGGAAATTGAAAATGAAAACTCAATCTTATTTTCTGAAAATATTTTCATAGAAAATGAAAACAGTTTTCTACAACCAAACGCACCCTAAAGGTGCATTTGGCTGTGAAATTTTTTCTAGTTTTCTAGGAAAATTTTCCAAAAAAAATAGAAATTTTGAAAACGCGTTTGGTTTGTTTATTTTTCCAAAGTTTTCTAAGAAAATGAAAATTTTCAGTT